GGCACTGAGATCTCCGGCAAGGACGATAAAATCTGACTTTTCGGCCTTGTTCAAAAGGTTGTGGAGACCACGATAAAAGTCATGCTTAACCGATGCACAGCTGCAGTCGGTTGGAGCGTAGGCAGAAACGACAAACAAATTGCACTTCTCTTCAAGATCACTGCACCCCAGTGTCCCTGAACGTTTACACTCGATAATTTTTTTAATTTTACACTACTCTTACTTGTCAAAGTTTTCTTTTCGGTAGACGTTCGATAGATGACCCAGACATATTTTCATTTCATCATATTCACCTCAACCATCCTACGGGACGTGTCAAGCGCTTGCTTTTATCCCGTGATAAATCATTGTTCATTGTTCATTGTGATTCTGCATGAGCCTTGAAGCCGAAGCGCACACAGTTGGCTGTCGATTGGAAACCAGTCGAGTAATGCAGCCTCCGCTTTGTCACCCAATGCGATACCGACACCAGTTAAGCCGGCTGCTGCTGCCTCCATGTCACCAGACTGACGTAGGTAGTATGTAGTTTCAAGAGTAGTTGGGGGCGACAAGTTAACCAGGGTGCGGGGATCTTGCAATCGAGTCTTTGAAAGGCAACAAACATCGATGGCGAGGGACTCTAGAGTACGCGCCAGGCCAGTCTGTTGTCCAATCTGTAGGAAGGTCCGAACATTGAACGCTGCCAGGCAGAATGAAGGAGGGGTCGAGGGATAGATGAGGGCCTGACGATTTGGATATCAGCGAGAGGACATTGGAAGTAGACTCAACAGGTTGTGGATTATAAACAAGAGAAAAGTTGGTCTGTGATGGAGAAGCACGAGTATCAGGGAAAGCAGCAGCAGAAGTGAGCGACGTAGTATTCTTTGAGAAACGTATGGTCACGCGTACCCTCCTCTCACTTGTTATCTAAACACTTTTGCGAAACCACATAAGGAGAAAGCCCAGACTGCGCCGTTCTTCTTAAAAAATTTTACATATGGGCTGCCGCTATCCATTCTCGTGGGTATGGTGCATTCTGACACCTGGCCTGATTGTTCGGATTCTCAGAGTGACCAACCGACGACGTGATAAAAGGCTATGGTAGAACTGACAGGGTGGTTTGCTCATATCGCCGCTCACTTGGATGAGCATCTGAATTTCCGGTAGCCAAGTATTGGGGAACACTTCGACCCTGAAGTCAACTGTGATCCTAAATGCAATCGCTTAACCATTTCTGTCGTACTATTCACCCGACAATTATGCCTTTTGAACTTCCAGTTTCTTTGGACATTTTGTAATATAGATTTCCTTATTATTCTCCTATGATGTTTTTACTGAGGAGTACCATGGGCCATATAACTAAAGGACTGAGCCAAATGGAGCACAGGTTGGTCGATTGTATTGCGCACATATCTCCAACTTCTACGCACTCAGCCCCACGCCTTCAGACCTACACTGGGGTAACGTGTAAGTAGGATTGTGGTGAAGGAGTCTTGTGATCCTTCTCGGTCATAATGATTGACCGGTTGCAAGCAGACAGATGTGACCAGCAGTGCTAGTCCGTACGAAGAGCGATTGATGTGTCACCGTGGTACGTACGGAGGAAAATGCCGTAAAAACAGCAACCATTTACCTCTTGCACCAACAAATAATGCGCATACTTGGCGCAGAGGTTGTTGCCCTCCACCTCGTGCCGCACGTCACTGTCTCGGTTATTCGTACTTGTAGGAACTGGTGTGTATAGACCGAGCAACGAATGTTGCATTATTAAGCTTTCTTGTAATCAATGCTCCATAACATATTGCATTCTCTCTGAATAGTTGACTTATGCGTTACCGATACGAAAAGAAATGAAGACCCCACTAGAATGTGAATGTTTCACGATGCGGTTGAAGTCAGATTGCAGTGGCGCGGAAAGCGAAAATCACAGGCGAAACGGATAAGCCGCAGAAACTAAGGAATTCGGGAACCGACGACGGCATAAGCGACGAAAGTCGACAAAGCAACTCGAAGCCTACGGAACAAGCCGGACATGGTCTGCGGACAACAAATGTTATCGGGCCCAGACCGAGAAGAGCGGGGGACTTAGTGGTGAAGAGGCAGATTTTCCGGAGCGATGCGGCTTTGGTCACGCCGCCAGGAATAACCCCAAGGAGAGCGACGCAACTCCGATTAAGCAAGTCATGAGCATTAGAACGAATCCAGCCCGGTCAGAACACGACGAGCGGATACGAAGATAGGGGAGCAAATCGGTCTAAACGGACCGCGCGGATCGACTAACATCGCGGCATGAATGTGACGCCGAGCGAAACGACACTTTGTTGTGCGTGGTGGGTTGGAATTGTCCTCTATGCATGCGTGCGTGAGTGATAGCCTGTGAACCCGTTGTGTGTTGACACTAAAGACTATGCGTCCCTACCACCTCGTTCTCGCTATACTATGGGTCCAGCACAATTGAGGCATACAAAAATATGCAATACTAAACCGACGTGGTAACTCACGCGCTCAGGTGGGTCGTTTGACTGGACGCTGAAACCTTCACCCGGGTAAGATTGGATGACATTGAAGCCAATACGTGCTAACCATAGTCCTTCGCTAATGCGTGCAAAAAGCAAGTCATCTAACTGTAGTGAACGTCATGGTAATTTGGTTAGCAGCCCAGTTTTTCTTGTGAATTAAGCTGGTGTATGCACTTCATTTGTAAGACGACAGGGCTTCTTCATTAAGCCCTTAAAGGTATCAAAATGTTACATGTTGAAAACCAAGTCAACTTTGTTCACCCTGACCATCCATACCTGCTCTGTCCCCTCGTCTCAAACGGACATCTTGTTTTGCTCGCTCAAGACTTATTTGTGAGACCGTTCTGACTTCATTCACAACGGGCTAGATCAAGCCAGGGAGCGTGATCCCATGATCCAGATATGTTTACTACCACGTCTGTGTTCGTCCGGAACCGTGCTGACTTCTGCTTACCTTCACACCACAGGCTTTATGGTTTGGGGCCAGTTCACGAGCAATCCCCTGCTTCCACTCCCCTATCGTCCACGGTTGGTACGCACTTAGAAGATCGGATGGCTGAGGTCGGTATAACAAGGACTCAACGGATTGATCTATGCCTCAGCTGCGTCTAGGTTAGACAGCCATGCTGACATATGGTCTGAATTCTATTGGCTGATGGCGGTTGACCACTCAGAGCATCATGGATGCAATTCTCGTGACTATAGGACTGTGGTTTCTTCACTAAGGATGCAAGCTGCTGCCATACGGATGAAAGCGGTTGTGTTAAGGATGTACTTAATTGGAAAATAGTATAGTGACATCGATGAAGTACCAACAAACGCCATTCTGTCCTAGTCCTACCAACCTCCACATTGCTGCTGTTAGCAAGCCTAGGCTTCTGCTTTTAACACACGTATCTGTCAATGCGTACTCTGTGAGTAGCGTTCCATCAATATGCATCCAAATTTAAACTATGGTGTTAGATAAAATAGGAAAGAGTCCTATATCTAAGCGCCTAAAGTCCTATATTTGCTAGTAGAAATTTGAATGCTTTATAAATGTGTGACTGCCAAATGGAAGGACATGTATGCGTAGGGTTGCGAGTAATCCAACAAGCATATATTTCGGTTCCGGTAGCCAACATCTGGAAATTGGGGCCCTTGCGTCCTTTCTGTCACTTGTCTGACAATTGGATCGGCCTCGCTTATGTTTCGGTACGCTACTTTGTCACCAACTTGCATGTGATTCCGTCGGATATAACAGGGGTCGATGTAGTTTGCCTTGTTGTAAGATTAACATAATCTTTCGTGGGTGGATAGTGTCCAGAAGTTCGAAAGCGGTGATGTATCCCTGCAGTTCGTTGGGTAGGTGTTATAACGCTGCCCTGCAATCGGCCGGTTGATTCACGCCTGCTGCTAAATCTGCGCCCTTACGCGTGCTCTGTTTGACGCCTTGGCAAACCCGACCGGAAGGAAGACAGAAGAATACTCAGCAGACCAGAGTTGTATTAGGGCAGAGAACGCTCATATTTATATGTCGGTATCACCAGGCGGATTTGACTGTACGCCCACGCTCCACACATACTTGTCCGCTCCATCAGTCCAGTTCACCGTGTTGCTCGGGCACTCCAGTCTTCGTCCGCCTAGCCGGCGCATGGCAACGCACGTGCTGTCTGTTCGCGATTTCATCAGCTTTCGCCTGGGTAGTGGTAACAAGCTCGCAGGGTCTTTCCCAAGCACGATTGGTGACAAATGCGCGAGCATTGGCCATCGGCTTTCTCGCACAGCTGTCAGTAGGTATCACACTTGCGAAGAAACATTTGCCGGAGGTTTTGTCCATTTATAATTTTTGGAAACGTGGAAGGATAGGAGCTGCAAACCACCTCTTTCTATGTGGTGAATGAATATCGATGAGTATGGAAGATATCAACAGAAACCTTGGCTAAATAACCTGTAATGGTGTGCAGGGGTTCGTCCGCCACAAAAACGCACGTTCCCGAACTGATACATGCTGCTTAACCTTCGTTACTCTCGATCCAAACTGGCTTCCTATTAGAAGAGGAGCGAGAATAAGTGAAGTGGTTACGAATCGGATTTGGAGTCGAAGATAGACGGAAAAATTGACCGCACTACGTGCGGTATTTGTCTGTAGAATATTTGCTTCAATCTCATTTGGATGGAGCGTGATCGAGTTGCGGTGACCTAAAACCGCTCCTTTGGTTTAGCTGGTGAAAGTCAACTTTCAATATCCGACCGTTTCATGATTATGGACCGAATATAAGGGGAATTCGGACTGCGCATTTCTTTGGACAGAAGAATGGTGGGGTAAACGCGTTCGCGAATAATTTGTTCTATTGAACAGTATGGCATAAAGATATGTTCCCTTGTAGTTGAATTGTTTTTCTGGTACTATAGCTCTGGTCCTTGGTTCAGAGAGGACAAAAGTATTTCGTCGTTCACCATGACAGCGTAATGCTCATGAATGCATATTAATTTCCATGGTTTTGGTTCGTTTTCTCTCAGGGGATTAATTTCTGCTCAACTTCTTGGTGGTCAAAATTACCGCGAGTTGCTGCGTAGTTGCATCAGCCCGTGTGGATCCTTTGTCTTCTCTGGCGCCGAGGATCACAATGTTTACGTGTGGAGCGCAATCACAGGTAAACATCGTGTTTCTCTTAATCTGCACGCATGAGGCAATTGTGATGTTGAAAATGTAGCAGTCTACACAAAAGTATTGTGCAGCATAACTGGGGAATCATGAAAATGCTCTTGGAACTTTACACATTCAATGTAGTGAACTTGCTCTTCGTTAATTCTCATCCGGTCATTATATACATAAGTTTCAAGTGAAAAATATCCCAGGTGTAGACATCAGAAACAAGAGTTAGCGAACAGACATATTTTCTGTGGATCTCATCTGGCTTATACAACACACCTGATAGGAATTAAGCACGCGAAATACATCAGACAGTGGCAAAGTTCAAAGGTCTAGGTTAGTTGAATAACAGAGCTAGTGGTTGGTTCAGAAGCGGTCATGACCCAACATTGGTCATCGTGGTGAGAGGTCAACGTAGGCAGAGAAACTGGACAAATCACTGTTGTGATTACAAATCTGGGTTCTGGAAGCAGGTAGCAATCGCTTCGGCTGTTGTTAGCATGCAATGTCTTACCGCTCGTGTGTGGCGTCTAGGTACGTGTTACATGGCTTGGAAAGACTGACAGATATTGATTTGGTGGTTGCAATCAACTAAATGTGCTAAAACGGCGCTATAGCGATACGTGGATAGTATATTTTGTGTGACAGACAGTCACGGTTGCACAGTGCAAATTTTGCCCCATATTAATCCAGCGCGCCATAATGCTAAGTTCAGCCTCGAATCTGAAAGCAATGACACAATGTCCTTCCTAGACATCCAGGTTAGCAGAAGACCGGATGAGTCGACCCAACAGAGGGTGCACAGAAAAGCAACGTGGAAAGGACAATATATACATTTTGCCGACATTGTTCCGCTAAATTAGAAACGGAACTTAACTGGACGTTTAACTGAAAGAGCCAGAAAGATTTGTAGTGAGGACACGCTTCTGGATGAGCACAACTTCGTAAGTGGCCTTTTCGAGAGAAATGGTTATCCGGAAAAGTTTGTTCGGAGAAATGTGGAGTGTCACTAAACAAGAGCTAAAACAGTTTCTGTCGGGAAGTAACTGGTTCATCTGTCGTTCCTGTTCAAGCGGATGGAATAGCCCAGGCACTGTCCCGAAGGCTATCCGGCGCCAATGACAATAACCAGCACACAACAAGAGTACTTATAAGATTTACATAAGCATCGATCGTGATGCAGCAGCTCAAGGACAAACTCCCTCGGTCAAGTGCCTCTTTCTGTGTATACTCATTCTCTTGTCCATATCGGGCAAGATATATCGAAAGAACCACCAAGGGACTGTCCGAGATAATCCGTAAGCATTGCCTGGCTTGGCTGTGCACTGATGTGACGAAATCAGTGACGAGTGCCGTTTTGGCACATTAACTAAATAAATAAATACATATTTTATTCTCGAATGCAGCGAGGCACATTAAATAAGGCATGAGCACAATTTACAGGTACATATGTCACAACAGACAGGTTGCGTTACAAGCAATGAGGTGACTGTAAGTTATAGAGTTCGTCCAAATGGGTAAAGTACCGGTGTGGACAAAATCATTTGTCATGTGACCATGAATTGGGTTTATATATGTCTGGTGTAGAGATCAAACATAAAGCATAAAGAGTGAAGTGGTGATGGAATGTGTAGGCAGGGAATTGCCTCATGGTATACGTATTAGTACTAGCGAAATGTGCTAGGTTGCCGAACAACCTCCTCGCGGTGCCAGCTGGGTGGTTCAGGCTTTTCCCGTTCCAGCAAATCGTTCGGCTGCAGTGTTACAGGACGTGGTGGGTTTTCGCCTGGCAAGCGTTCTCCCTATAAAAAACCACATATATCCGTTTAACAACACTGTGACGTGGCGGATGTGACTCGCCACTAAACAAAGTCACTGCTCCTTGCTTCATCCTGGCGAAGCATTGTATTCCAACAACTTTGTGCTGTACTTCTGGGGAGCATTGGGCCGCTTTTTGACAAAGGAACGAACGAAAGGCGTATGAACTGAGTAATCAGTCACCAGCTCCCAATGGGCGCGATTCCCTGAATTCGCTCCGCTGCCTTGCGGACAGGCTATTCAGCCAAAGGCTTGGGGTGGTGTCCCCTAAGTCAACACTCTACTTCGGCTTGGGCAACCGGGTAGTATCTCGCCCTCTGACGAAACCATGGAGTTTAATGTGTAGTGTTGTGTTTTCTTTTACAAGTTCCGTACCTTCTTTTGCATTCCGTGGTTTCTGATGGCTTTATGTCTATTCATAGACTGTTGCATATATATATATATATATATATATATATATATATATATATATATATATATATAATGTTAGCGAAATGTGGCAGTGGTCAACTTGCTAGTGGAAAGTTGTGGACTGACTTTATTAAGTGACGAGTCACATCCGCCACGTCGCAGTGCTGTTAATTGACCTCTGCGGGTTTTATAGGGAGAACGCTTGCCAGAAGAAAACCCGCTAAGTCCTGGAACACTGCCGTAAATCAATTTGAACATTAATGTAAACTAGCAAGGCTTCTTACAGACCGAGTATTCGCTCGGTTATCCGCAGCCAGGCTGCGTCTAACTGTTTCAGTTGGCTGATTGCAACCACCAAATCAATACCTGTCAGCCTTTAAAAGCCATTTACTGCGTACCTAGACGCCACGCACGAGCGGTAAGACATTGCATGCTAACAACAGCCGAATCGATTGCTACCTACTTCCAGAACCCAGATTTGTAATCACAACAGTGATTTGTCCAGTTTCTCTCCCTACTTTGACCTCTCACCACGATGACCAATGTTGGGTCATGACCGCCTCTGAACCAACCACTAGCTTTGTTAATCAACCAAACTAGACCTTTGAACTTTGCCACTGTCTGATGTATTTCGCGTGCTTAATTCCTATCAGGTGTGTTGTATAAGCCAGATGAGATCCACAGAAAATATGTCTGTTCGCTAACGGTTGTTTCTGATACATAAGTTTGTTAACATATTTTCCAATGCTAATGAATGCTAGGTTAGGTTTCGTTGTCATAACATGCTGCGTCGCTCTTGGGTCCTACCCTGCCTGCAACTACACAACCTAAAGGCGCAAATGTCCTACCGCGCAACTTTTGCACCTACGCACACACACACACAAACACACACACACACACACACACCGATATGCATGACGGTCGATGGGAGTGTTGTCCAACAGTCAGTATGTTTGATCGAGACGGAATGAGGAGGGCTTGCACTCTCACAGTTCGGTTTGGCTTACCCTGATCGCAATGGCCTGGGCTGTCATTAGTAGGCGTTCCATAATTACGTAGGCGTCGCTTTGGTATGACGTTAAACTTCAACAGTTTGGTGGTCGCAACCTGTTCACCTGGAGATGTAAACATTTCCAACTGTGCCTCTCTACAACTGTGCAAGCACAGAGCGCTAGCGCAAGCCTTCCTCTTCACATGGCCTGATTAGACCTGTTCTCAGCCAACTGCGTCCATAGCGGTTGCAAATGCCCCTTTAGGGAAATCATGTACCTCCACTGATTTTTCCTGTTAGCCCTTAACGTTCTCAACTTGCATCCAACAGGTGCAAATGCTTCTGCAACATACGTATTAATCGTTAACTGATTCTAACTTACGGAAGAGTAGTAGGGGGAGTTGAATGGTATAGGTAGAAATTCGTCACATCTAGACTCACTCAGACAGCCGCCATACGCCCGGAAAAGCACTGTACGTGCGTTTCATCCATTCGGGAATCATCAGCAGTGCGCATTCCATCGGACCCCTGGTCCTATGCACGGCAGTAACGCGTAAGTCAGTGGACAGTGACCGGCGCTATATCACATCTAGTAACTTATTCACGATAGTCGTTGCCGTCCCCCATAGCTCAGTGGTCTCAACCACGGACTGGCAACAGTTGAGTTGCCGGTTCGAGCCCTACCAGCGGTCCGATGGAATGCGCACTGCTGATGATTCCCGAAAGGATGCAACGCACGTACAGTGCTTTTCCGGGCGTGTTGCGGCTGTCTGAGTGAGTCTAGATGTGACGAATTTCCATCTATATGATTCTAACTTCTAGATCACCCATTTTATAAGAGATGAATACACAGAGTGGGATGCTATTGGCAGATTTGGGATTGAGCGTGCACACCGCACACGTTGGTGGGGTTCTACTCAGATGCTATTCGCAAGTGGTGGCACGTACGAGGCGTGGGCAGTACAGAGGTAAATAGAACAGTTGCTCGTCTGAACCCAAAGTGTATTGACAAAAGCTACAGGGAACGGAGGGCAGGTACTATAAGGCAGATATTAGTGTGCGGCGTGACTCATGAGGAGAGCAAGTCATCGGTATGTACCATCAGTCAAACGACTGGACGATCGGAAGATACAAACCAAAAGAAAATCCAGTATCAAAATATTAGAAGTTGGTTCGACTCATCTTCACTATAGATGTGCTTTGATAGCGTTAAGGACCATTCTTAGAGACCTGTGGAGGAACATGATTTGCTTAAGGAGGAATTTGAAAGTCTTATGGATGCAACTGACTAGAAAGGTATAGAAGTGACTGTATACCTCGTCTACCGCAATCAAAGATGGTGATCTTGTTGGACTCGTCACCTAATTGGCCGTCGTGCAATTTTGCATGTGCGTGTGGGTACGTTTGCGTATGTGCAGTGTATGCTGTGTGTATCTCTGCAGGTGCAGCACTACATCGTCGAGAGTCCAAGAACAATGCAAGCTGTTGTGACTCAACGAACCCTGAGGCCCACAGAAATGTTCGAAAAACCTTATGCAAGTAACGACCCGACGAGAATTATCGAAACTAATTTCTTCGCTGAATAAAAGTACGCAAATGAGTCCGTTTACAGTTGAAAAGGCATTTGAATCAGACACTGTTCACCAGCGGGTCACATTTGGGAAGCAGATGAACCGTAAACAGTAAGCCAGTTCAACTGATACGCGACCAGCTTAGGTGCGAGGAAGTTGCTTTATTAGTCCGGCGGGACAATTAATAGTGAATTCTATTGTGGCAGTGCGCGCAGACGCACATTCAGCGGACGTTTTTGAGGTGATCTGACATTGGTGTATCAGATCCTTATGGATCCTAAGCATACACTTCGACCCTTATTGAAACTCAACGACAGTAAGCTTTACCAGGAGGCCACCATTTGAAGTTGGCCACACAGTATAGCCGGACGGAATGCCACCAGAACCTATGTTCCATACGTGTATCCCAGCCCTTGGAAGCTACATGCGCATTCTCTCAGCTATGCTCCTACCTTAAATAATAATAAAAATAACAATAATAATAATAATGTGTCAGCTGTACGTCGTAACAGCGCTTCGCTGCCGCGCGACCACCATCAGTCGCGCGCGGGCTGAGTATACCGCGAGGAAGCCCACCTCTACGCGGATTCGGACCGGTGACCTTATGGTTGCAAACCAAACGCGCAGAGCATTCGGCCACCGGCCTAGAATAGCTGAATTCAAAAGGTAGCTTGATAATGTATTACATCACGTGCACTACAAAATTTTACACAAGTTATCATGACAAGGAATAAAGTGGAAACACTGTGTACAACCGTGCAAACTACAGGGAGTCGGCCAATACGCACTAATTTTTCTCCTTCTCACTGTTCGTCTACGAAACGCCTTAAGTAATTACCGTTTTCTCCGTGATAAACCCATTGTTCCAGCATTGTTCCATTCTGTCTGCCATCGATTTGTCAACTGCTTGCAACAAGTTGACCATGTCAGGATAGACATGTATCTAGTGAAAACCGGGCATAATTATTGCTAGTCCCACCAGTAAGACTGTTTTAGATTATTGGTGGTTTTTGTGAGTGGTGTAATATGGTAGAAAGTAGAAGCCACGGTTTAACTTTGCCTGGACGGGGAATCGAACCCCGGACCTACGGATTACCGGTCGGCTGCTCTACCAACTGAGCTGCCGAGGACTGACGATCAGGTGCGCAATTTAATACACGACTTCTGCTTGGTTCGCGACGTATTGCCAATAAGCTCACAGTAGTGCAGCGGACCGGTACTGCGTATGTCCGGGGTTCGAGTACCCGTCGAGGTAGATTATTGTGCAAAGCTTAATCGTGTCTTCTACTTGCTACAACTAGACTGTTTTCTTATACGATATGTTTCTTCTACCCATGAGACAGTGGAGGTCGAAGGGAATGCGAAGCACCAGTGCCAAGTCGAATTTTCACGGTAGGCATTCGATTTGCACTAAGCACAGCTTCTTTTATGATTGTCAGTTTACCACAAATGTGTTATTGCATGTTAAAACATGAGTAATAGTATAGCGCTTCATTTTCTACTCCGCCTCTCAGTTGTCAGCGCCTTTGTGCTTGGAATATATGTATCAATTGCTAATGCACCAGTACAAAGCATGTGGAGACTGAATGCAGTCGTTCCATATGCTTCAAATCTTTTGAATGTACGAGCAAATGAAAGCTACTTAGCTTTCGGTTGGCGAAATCGCCACCTTGCGGTGGTGAATAATCTACCTTCATACTTTTCCACACTCTCCTGTCTTTTTCTGTCCGACTTCGTCCGCTTTGGAGCTCATGGTCGTTTCCATTCCTGTCCTTAATAAACGACCAATTTCTTTTGTACACAGGTGACCAAGTGGCTTGTTATCGGCAGCTCCAGTTCAGTGGATCGGTGAAATCCATCAGCTTCCACCCAACACAACACGTGGTCGTGTTTGCGTCGCTTGATCGAGAACAGCCCGTTTGTGTCTACGCATTCAACCCACTACGTAGGTCCCTCCCCGGTCTGTGTTTAATTCAAAATCTAGTGCTCTTCAACATGTGTCTTTTAGTCGCCTCGGCATAAGAAGGTGAAGTTATTTCGGGAGTGAGACACTACTATGATTGAGAATTGAGAAATAATTCCCGGGGATGACATCAGAAACAGAAAGTAGCAAACAAGCTTGTTTTCATGGCTTCATCATCAGGCTAATACAACCACAATAAAGCAAGTTAGAATAGACACGATGGTTTAAATTGAGTCACTGAAACAGAGTAACTAATCGATAAGTCTAGGTGTTTGGTCTGATTAACGGAGCTCAATCAACCAGAGTACTTATGTGCCACATGCCAGAGACGCTTAGCAGACGATCTAATGAGCATCTATGTTTTGGTAAATGTTTAAAAAGCCCAGGGTGTATGAACTTACAATTTTGCTTAGTGGCAGACTTCAGGTTAAACGTGTCAAAAATTTGGGCCACGGTGGCAGCAGTTACAGCAGCCAAAGTAAGTTACTTCCAGTAAACCGAGACGATCTCCGTTCTCTTGACTGGCTCGAATTTGCGCAACCCACTGCCGATATTTTACACCACCGGCGGCGGTATCACTTGCAACAGTCCGGGGGAACGATCGCAGCTGCTTTGCTGGCCAGGGATCTTCTGGCAACCAACCAAGTCTTTTACTTACAGACCCCCAACTTAAGTACAAATAATGGAAACTATGTTTCAATCAGGATACCGGATGTCTTTACCTTTTACTTCAGACGGGTATTTCTCATTGAGACAAAAAGTCGCTCTAAATTCTACTGAGGAGTAGATGAGTGGTAGACAGTAACAACAAAATACCCTTTCCACCTTGGATGCACATCTTCCTGTTAAAACAGAACGTATCCTGTAAGGATGGACAGTAGTCTCATCTTACTTTTCCTACCACTGTGATGGAGAACAACAGTCCAGAAGGAACCAACGGGTAACTTGCGTTGTCTCAGTCAGAGTTGCTCTTCCCTTGCCGGTTCACGATTTGCCACACCCGTGTCAATAAGTGCTACGTTCAGTAAGGTGGAAACAGTAGCGCAACGTGTGACGCACGTATGAGCCATGCGATCGATCACGTTACCATAAATTCAAGCGTATCAAAAAAAGCAACTAGCCAAAAGCTAGGTGGGGTTAGCAAACAAATAACAGGAATGAATCGATGTAGTGCGAAAAATCCGATGGAGGCACAACAACAAGTGTTTCTGGCCAATTCCATTCGATGGGCGCGATTAAGCTACATGGAGCTACATGGAGCAGCAGCAGCAGCAGCAGCAGCAGCAGCAGCAGCAGCAGCAGCAGCAGCAGCAGCAGCAGCAGCAGCAGCAGCAGCAGCAGCAGCAGCAGCATTTGGTTCGCTCGAAACGCACCACTGTACTATGCTATCACATAATCAGTAACGACTCCGGTACAGTGGAACGATGCAACAGTGTTTAAATACCAGTAAAAATGCTAATGCTTAACAGGTAAGTCCTAGTTTCTCGCATCGGTCTTCATACCCCAAGTCACGTAAACTCGGGATGAGCCTGGTAGCAACGTGTTGGACCCGTTCGATCTTCTGTGCCTCGTTTCGGGTAATCGGAAAGTAGGCCGGCGAACCGTACTCTAGCATTGGTC